ATGAAACATAGATTCACCTAAACTATGAGAAAAATGCCAATATAACATACTGTAAGTTTATGAAGTCCCTGTTAAAGCAGCAAGCACTGAAAAGGTCAAAAGTATTTTAGTTTTAGCAACAGACACACCAATATGTAAACATTTACCCTAACAAAAGCAAAGCTTCATAAGCTTGTGAGTCTAAAAATATACTAGTAAAGCTATTGCAGAGCAATAACATGACTCGTCATCACAACAGGGTTCTTTTTATACAAACCACGTATTTAGCAGTATACTTTAACTACAGCATTATAATCCCAGAACACATTATACCAGTTTGTTATTTTATTGCAGAAGAAAACTGTGGGACTTTCGCAACTTAAATACAACACTGCCAGATTCAGTAACACTTGTTACTGCATATAAATATTACTCCAAACTTAAAAAAGAAAATAGAAATTTCAACACAAGAAAAAGAATAGCTACAAACAAGGAAAAATCGCTCTGCTCATTACTTTATACAGATATTAAGACCCTGTACAAATTGTTAATGATGATCATTCCTGCTTCTCAATAAATAAGGCCTTGAGAACAAGTGCATTACCTTAAGAAAAGCTCCATTATCTTCATCGGAAGAACTGTACAACACTCACTGAACATTAAATTCCATTTTTGCCTTTTACATTTAGGATATGGACTTTTGGATACATTAGTTAGATGCTCTTCAAAACACGGCAAGCAAGGAACTAGGGGTCACTCTAGAAACATTTCTTCAGTCTTATTTCAGGCCACAAAAGCAGGCCTGAGAGACTCTTGTCTAACCTAGGAAGAGCTGTCTGCACCCTCTTTCTAACACCACCTTCAGGTGGCATTGCTTTGCATCTTCTCAACAGGCACAGGGTTGAACCTCAAGGAGTTGAGGTGTCAGCCCTGGATCTATCATTATCATAAGAGCAATCCTCCTTGCAGAGCAAACTCAAGAGTTCACTGGCTCTGAGAGCTGCCCCAGGCAGAGGGAGGTTGCTGGTCACAGTTGCTGTGGTCTGGGAGAGCTCAGAGGGTCTCACCTGGGGCTGCTTTTTTTTTTAGAATCACAAGAGAGGTGGCTTTAGTCATAGTAATCTTCCATCTTGGCCAAAATTCAGGTCAGAAAATGTCTTTGAAAACTTGATACTGAAAATATTATCCCACTCAGGATGTCACTCAGGCAAGCAGAAAAAATTCCAAGGCTGTGCAAGAAAACCCAGGTTCTCATTAGTTCCTGGTGACAGTGTTTCTGATAAGCTCCAGGTGCAATTCATCATGGCCAAGATCTAAAGAGTATTTCTCAATCATGGTGCAGCTGGGGAGAGGGAAAACACCACCAGAGGAGCAAAGCCAGTCATTCAAAAAACTTGAGAAGCCAGGAATTAGATTATATTGCAGGGGCTATATTCGTACTCATGGAAGGCAGATTCTAAGAGCTGACAAATTTGGTGCAAGACTGGGCACTTCCTCAGGAGTGGGAATGGGTTTTAAGTCAGTAAAAAGAAGCACAAATGCAGCAAGTTGAGCAGCCCATAGTAACACTTTTTTGATAAGGACAGCACATCATTTCCACCAAAGAGTATAGCTAGAATGGTGTTCTACAGCACACACAGCTCTGGCAAACTTTAGTCAACCCAGAATGAGTATTACATACAGAAATCCCCCATAATAACCATTTCCTACCTGAATATTTCCCTTTCCCTCAGCTGGTCACCTTTGCAGCCACTTTCATTGTATTTCTGAACCCAAAACACAAACTCAGGGCCAATTTCTTTAAGCCTCTATGACAAGGTGTTTTCTGTCACCTCTGAGGCTACTGTGGATCTTACTCATCAGAAAACTAGTATTTACCAAATCACATCAAAATACTTGCAGATACCATAGACTGTTGTCTTGAGAGTCTATAATATAGCTGTACTCTCAGGCTTTATAGTATACTTGTACTCTCAGGCTTTAAATCCATCGTGAACCACTAAGCAGCTGTTTCTTATTTATTTAGTATAACCCATTTGCATGTGTGTTATGGAAAGCACCATTACGCAATGTAAAATGCATAAGATATTTCTATATTTAATTACTGTTTTCCAAACCATCTATGAGTGCACTTATGCAAATAACACTCCTTGTACAACCTAATGTCTCAGTTCAACAAAACAGAGCCATGTGCTAACTACTGAAAGCTCTAGGCTGAGTGAGAAATCAGAAGTGGTCAGACTCCCACTGCAAGATGAGAACCCTCCATTTTCAGTAACCATTTTGAAACATCAGCTTTCTTAATAATTAAAACTTTCTGAGTTTGTTGCTTTCTTTGGAGAAGAGATGCTGACTATCACCTCAGGAAAAATGTTATATGGAAATCTGTCCTAAATGGATTTCTTCCCTTAAAGCTATTCTTTTTTTCCATAGCCACAGAAACCCACCTTAAACGTACATTTTGGTATCAGTTTGACTTGCAAACAATGTAAGCATACCTTAAATTTCAGGGGCAATACTCATCTTTTCTTTCAATTAAAATTATTCTCAGACATATGACATTTTTATACACATAAATTAAAAGAGAACACAAAATTTTTCATGAAGTGTAATTATGTTGCAAACATGTCAAAACCACCAAAATTAAGATTTGTCCTATAGTTCAAAGCCAAGCTCTGTTTTACAGTCTACAAATAGAGCCTCATCAATTAAAATTTAAAATTTCTGGCTATGCTTGGCCCATGTATATCTTTTTCATTCAAAACATGTTTCTCTTATTTCCTTCCTCTTTTCCTTGAGAAATAGGTATTTACTATCTCTACATTTTCCTATATGTCACAGTCATTTTCAATGACCTACAATTTTCAATGACTTGCTACATTTATACCTTTGAAAATTCAGCGCTTGCTGTAAAATTCCAACATTTAGGCATGACCCATGATCTTTGTAAATTAAATGTCAGTCTTTCTTACAAGCTGTAAAAAGTAGTTTTCTTGCACAATTTTAGTGAGTCAAAGTCTTTCTACAGATTAAAAAAAATAAAATGCACAAGTCATCGTTCCCAGCTTGTGTAAATCAACACATACTTGATAGGCAGTCATTTATGTTACATTTTGGTCATTATTTTGACCTGATGAAATAGTCTGCTGCTTAGGTTCAATAATAAATGTCAGGCTCAAATTCCATTGGCAAAAAGTTGAATTTAAATTTGGCTCTGGACCAAAAGACCTCTGGAGGTTTCATTCAACTGAAATCATTCTATGATTTAAATTATGATCTTTGTATTTCTTGCTTAAGTCACACTGAAGATGATTGATTAAAGTATTTCTCATGAGATCAATTTTGATTCAATAAGGCTATCATTACATGTTGAAAAACAAGACAAATTTTGAGGCCATTTAGTTTTGTAATGGATGCTAAATAATTCAGGTCATTAAATATGGATAATCCAAAGATTTCAAAGACGCTATGAAATATGTAATATTTCAATTTAGCACTAAGAAGAGACTACACAACGTGGAACGAGGAAAATAATTATGTGAGAAATATGTACTAAGACCCATTTCTGATGCAGTAATGCATATGTCACTGTAATATGAATTACATAAATTTCTCACAGAGTTCTAGATTCTTGGAAAAAAACATGCTTTCCTTCTGACATTTATCTCAAGCATTTTGATGGACATGAATCCTTTGAGTGCAGAGCCTCCCATATTAGACTAGCCAAATGTCTAAATACAATGTTTAAAACCTCTAGGCTAAAACTAATTGATGTAGCAAAACAAAAACAAACAAACAAAAAAATCCAAACTGAGTATTCCATTATTCAATCACATCTAGCTTCCTTTATGGATTAAAAATAAAACCAGCCAAAATTTACTTAGTTGTATGTGATTCCTTAAATAAAAAGCAATGATAAATTTTGAAAACTAGATTCTCTGACTACATAAACTGAAATGAATGCATCTATTTTTCTAAAAGTTGTTCTGTCTATTAGAAATAAAAAATTTAAGCACTCTACTGATTTTCAAGTCTTTATGAAAAATACAAAGCGTGAAAACCTTTTCCCCAGAAGCAACACTCCTCAGATCACAGCATTATGGAGGTTGGAAAGACCTCAGGAGACATCTACTCCAAACTTATGCTCAACACATGCTTAAAAATACTTAACATAGAGCACATGACAGCATATCTTCCTGTGAAGATATTGGCAGTATTCAAAACTCAGCTGCAGAAATATATCCTAAGAGGAGCAGGTCTTCAGCTTAAAGCTTGTTCTGCAGCTCGACACCAAGGACAGGAATAGCTGCACCAACACCACTCACAAGACTTAATGCAGGAAGTTACTCTACAGGGAAAAGGAGTAGAGGAGAAAAAGAAATAGCAACCCTGGACACTTTTAACATAATTCTGTGTGCTTTTCACTAAAGCTTCCAGAGAAAGGGAATCGCTACAGCTGAAATTGAGAACAGTACATATCTACATGTGACTTAGGCAGCCGTAAGGAAAAGGCATGAGGCTTAAAGGACCTCAAACTTCAAAGTATCTCATACAGTCCCCTGTATGAACCTTAATTCTGACAGTATTGCTAAAAGTGAACTGCACTTCCTTCCAATTCCTCAAATATAATTCTAAGGTATTACTTAGTTTAACAGCATCATTTTCTACTGCATAAAAATAATCTCCATAATACTGTATAGAAATATCAATTTGATGATTTTTCACTTGGAAAAGTTGTGTGCAGATCAGAGAAGAAAATTAGGTATTTTAAATAACATGTTTATTCAAGCTGGCAACTACCCTTTTTACAGGATCTCCCACTGTGAATATATTGCACACTTCTCCTAAGTAGACTAATTAACTGAGCCCAGGTTTTTTTAAACAAAGTGGTCACTAGAAGAAAGAGTGAAGACATGAAAGTGCCATCATCATTACACTTTGTCCAAAAAATGTGAAAATTATTTACAGTTCTCTTTTTCTATGCTAGAAAGAAACAGAATAAAGTATCCTTCAAACAGCAGTGTAGTTCAAAGAAATTTATTTATAGGAAATTAACATTTTTCTCAAATCTGTAGCATTTCAGATGCTTGATATCACCATAGAATTTAAGTATTATAAGTAGAAGACTTTAATTAAATTTTCTCATTAAAAATTAAATTAAAATTCTAATTATGTTTTCATGTTTTCTTGTATTGGGTTTTGCATCATCAACATACCACAGGGGCATTTTCAGTCTGCTTTAGTAGAGAAATATCATATACTCTAAAAGATCTTTTTATGATGATACTTTAATTTTATTCTGAATCCAATCTGTTTTAACGTTTCTATCATCTCAGTTTCCTGAAAACAGATATAAATGTGAAGGCAAGCTCAAGATGAGGAACTACTGCACCTGGAGTGGTGCTTAAAAGCAATTGACTGTAAAGAATTGAAAATAAGTGAAATTTAAAACAACATTTTTCTTATTTTCATGAACTAGCCAAGATTATTCACACACACACTTAGAAACAACAACTATTTCAAGAACTGAGCAGGAGTTATTTCTCTGGGAAAAACAAACTGTGAACAAGCACGCCCCCTCTCACTGGGATAGATGGCATTTACCTAGAGGAAAGTTGCTGTTCATGGTGACTTGATCCTCTAAGCATGTCCTTTGGGTACAGCTGAGGAAGCACAGCCGCCGGCCTCTTAAAGAAAGCTGTCCTGCTGGTCTCTCATCAGTCTCCAAGTAGCTTCAAGTTGGATTAGGAGGTTTTTAACCTCCTCTTCAAACGCTTCCAGAAGAGCCTAAACTGCCTACCACCCCATGACAATTAAACAAGCCACTACCTCCAGAACAGGATATCACACCAAAGGCATCAAAGAAATCTCATTTATATGTAGCTACCATCACAAGCACTGGGAAGGGTTTGCCGTAAGTACTGACAGCTGTGTAAGTAGGAGGACTCAGTATGGCTGTTGAAAGATAATCTGGCTCCTAATTCCGAAAACCTGGCAGTTATTTGTCCCAGAGAAGGACTAATGGGCCAGTTGATGGCCAGATGGAAAAAGTTAGGAGACAATCTAACAGACTAATACAGGCAGCTTATGATTTAATACTAGAACTTGGAAGCCCATCAAAATGGTTAAAAATGGGGTCTTTTTTGTTTGTTTGTTTTGTTTTAATCTCATTGTTTTGGCAAAGACTTCATGTCACAGTAATGTAGGTGTTTCTCCTCAGCATTTGCCTCTTGCTGAAGGCCATCTACTGCATGGTGGCCTTGTGGTCCCGAATGCTTCAGGACTTCCAGGAAGACATCACACCTGGGGCAGTGCGTTGCTGAATTTTTTCCATGGATATCTGAACTAGGGCTGTCTCTGTGCAGTGCCAGAGAATTCTTTGTCTGCTCAAGATTGTTAACAGGCAGGAAATGCAGTTCTGAGCATGCTGCCAGCATATAAAAGAAAATATAGTTGGAAACTTAGCACCATAAGAAAGAAACTAGTAAATAATTGCTATTGTTCTAAAAGAGATGGCAATCTATATGGCAGATGTCAAGAAAAATGGGTGGAGTGGTATACCTAAAATATTTCAAGTTTATTTATAATGCACTAAGGGAAAAATGCAGAATCAAACCTCAGAGAAGCTATATGGGTTTTTGTTTAGGAAGAGGAATGAAGTCTGCCATTTGGCAGTGTAGCATGATAGATCTTGCTACCATGGCCCTTACAGTGCACTCAGAGTGTATTTTGGTTTAGAGCTAGATTCCTGTGTTTTATGCATGAGTTTAATAGTAAAATTTAAAATCTTGCTTTTCAGTTCTAGGCAAACCTGATTGTATGGCTGCACAGTGTTTGCCTGTTACACTGGAAGAGAGCTACATTCCCTAAAGGAGGAGATGATAACTACACGTATAAGCCATTACATCAAGAAACATGGATTGAAAATGGTCTGAAAAATAGCAGAGGACAAACTGCGGTCCAAGAGTGACCCTCCCTCTGGAGGGATGATCCTTAATGATCATAATTAGAAAAAAAAATGTTCCTTCATGAATAAAGTAAGAGAGAACTAAAGAATTTTAATATCTTGAATTATTAAAAGGTATTTCCAGCTTCACCAAGTTAGGGCTCAAGTTTTAGAGCCATATATTACACAGAGAATAGAATATGACTTTTTATTATGATATCAAAATACTTCCCATAGTTTGAATAAGTAGTGAAAGAATTTGACAATACTTTGAAAGATTCAGATCAGTACACATAACACCTAAAGACTAGCTAAAAGATTTTAAAAACCAGGGTCATTACAATTATCAGAAAAGGTTAGTTTTCTGTTTTCTGCATATTCTCAAACCCACAAACATTCAAAGCATAGCATGATCAGAACAGTGTTGAACCTGTAACTGGTATCACGCAAAAAAGTCCTGAATCCTTTACTGAGACTCGTTTATCTTATTTAATAGCTTTTATTTCCACAACTGCTACTGTATTTTGCTGCTATTTCCCCCTACCACACTAATTTTAAAAAGTGGTACCTAGGGAGCAGAAAGATTAGAAAAGCAGATGGCTTTAAAAGTGAAAGGGTAACCTATAAAATATAGTCAAGGCAAACAGCATGGGAAAAAAATATGACTGAGTTTAAAAAAGGAATCTATAACTGAAAGGAACCTAGAGAAAGGGAAAGGGAATGATTACAAATAAGGACATAAGGGAACAGCTGAAATTAATCAGATAAACTTTTCTCATGTCAGTATAATAATAGGATTTGCTATCAGTTGAGGTGTCTCAGCTGAGAATTTAATTTCATTACAATTAATTTTAAAAAAAAAATCAGATTGGAAGTCTAATAAATGTCAATTAGTGCTTTTTTTAGAGCCATTCTTATCAGTACTTATTATATGCACATGTAAAATCAGAACCTGAAATTAATTATTTTGGTGTGATTAAAAATAAAGGCATGATACTCAAAATATCCTTTTTTACCCACCTACTTCCCTCCATCTCTAACATATAGTTGCCTGTAGGATAAAAATTATTAACCATCACTGCCTAGTATAGATTTCTGTTCTTCACATGCAGCTGAATACCTCATTCTGCCAACTAAATTGTCTATTTAGCAGGAATAGTAATTTACAGCTAGAATTTTGTAAGTATTTCCTGATTATCTTTCCTGGTAAATCAGTGGTATATTGAATACCAAACAATGAGAAGATACAGAACTTGCAATCACCTTAAATCTTTTATTCCACTGCAGGTATAACATATGGGCATAGTTATCAAAATACACTATTGCAGAATTTAACTAACTTTTTTAAAGGCATAAAAGAGCCTTCAAGAAAAATACTCTTCCTGGTTTGGGGTCTTTTTCAGACCTTTCTGCAGAAAACAGTTGTTTATTTTTTCCTACGTAAAGCAAATTAATATCTAAGGTTTTCAACAACTCAGATAAGGGTTAAGCTTGTTTTAGAAAAAGAAATCTCCTAATTAACTTTCTAATGTAATTTGCTTCACATTTATTCCATGAGTACTGGAAGTTTGAACTGTTTTAGTACACAAGAAGGTCTTAAAGAAGGATATGTACCGTGTTGAAGCAGTAAATGATGAATTATCCTTTTCCTTTTAATAAAAATATTGTCAAACAATTCTTTTTGGTGTTCAGTGTTGATCTGAAGGAAAGTTTTAAAATGCTCTGAACATTCCTGCTGACTAATCAGCTATATTTGTAGCATGACTCACAGTCTGACTACTACTGAGGCGTTTGTCCTTCGCCCAAGTCATTCACTAGATGACACTCTTGTACCACAGTACAACCTCTTTGCTATGCAAGACATCAAACTGACTCCTTAGAAATGAGAACATAAATTTTAATGAAAATAACTAAAGAAAATGTTTTATATTTTCATTAAATGCTTTGTAGAGAACAATGCACAATTACAAGTAAACATAAAAACCAAATTTTAAAAATATTTTAGTACAGCAGCTACTACTAGAAAGCAATCTTAAAGCAACTGTATTTCAGTCTGATGCTGAGATGTTGTGCTCAAGGCAAAATAAGGAAATGAGAACTTTTCTTTATTTTTTTCCCCATTAAATTATTGCGCATATTTCTTGGTAGATTCAAAGTATAGTTACAGATTTTTCAAGACTAAGTCACTATTTTTTATGTGGCCTTAAATAAAAAGCAAAGAACAAATTAGAAATAACTTCTTTCAACCATGAACATATCTTACACCTAATTACATTGGAAGACTGAAGTATTGAATCCTTTTACATTTTTTCTCATTTCTACTCTGATAGGTAGGATTCAAAGGATTTGTCTAGTAACTTACAAGAACATCTTCAACCAAAATGTGCATTAATTGCCTTTATCAGCTCAGGTTTATTTCTCTAGCCACTTTTCCAGTCTCCCTACATGTTGCTAGATGTGAAGATATAAGATCCATCATATTAATTTCCTCACATGAAGAAGGGTTATGAAATTAGGAACAGCAAGTGCTGTTTGTGTGGTATTAGAACACATGAGAATATAGTGCCCCTCTAAATCTGTAGCATGTGTACAATCTGCAAAATGTTCTAGGTAAGATATCTACTGTTCTAGATCTTGTCTAGCACAGATAGTGAAAGAGGTCTACTGTAGAATCTACTGTGAAGATTAAGTTACCATACCTCAGCAATTTTATATCTGTAGGAATAGTACCACCTGCATATAGTGCTCTTAATCTTGGAGAGAGCGCATTTTACTCCTTCAAATAATCCTGCTCTAAAACTTCCTTTCTGCAGAGATCATGCTAAACAAAGTTTAGGCTTTTGTTTGCTTTGCACAATATATCTGTAAGTATACAAAAGCATAATTTTTTTTTACTATAATTCTTTCTAACATATGTGTGCAATGCCACTATTTTCTCATTTACTTAAGAGTTAACTCAATGGTCCTGGTGGGTCCCTTCCAACTCAGAATATTCTGTGAAACTGCGAAGATATTTCAGAACAGTAATTTACATATATGCTTCCATTAAGACTAAAGTTCTTTTTTGCACTACAATATACCCCATTTTCAAGCAGAAAAAAATATACTTGGTTGTCCTGGTTCCAGCCAGGACAAAAGTGAACTTTTGTACTAGCCATGAGAGGGCAAAGCTGCAGCCATGTGGGCATGGCCAAGCTGTTTTTTTTACCACCTCCAGGGGTAGGGGTAAGGGTCACTTTCTTCTGAGAAGGCCAAGGTGGGAGGGGGAAGCTGTTTACCATTGTTCATTGTCACCTGAAGTGTGCAGTGAGCATTTTTGCATGTGACTCACCCTATCTTTTTATATATTTCTGCCATTAATAATGTCACTGTTACTGTTGTAACTCACTTCTGTTTCCAGTGTATTGTTCTTACCTGAGCCCATGACCTCTGCCTTTTGTGCTTTCTGTCAGAGGAGGGCAGGGACTCCTGGGTTTTGGGGGGCTTTTTAGTGGTAGCACTAATTTGGGGAATACCATTTCTAAGCCACAAAATTAGGGTAGAAATATTTTAGGTGTTCAAGTTATACCAAGTTGCAAGAAGTTCATTTGAAGCATTTCCCAAGTTTTCTACTAGCATATAAACATTTCCAGCTCATGATGTATCATGAGGTACATGACCTACTTAAAAAAAAAAAAAATCTTAAATCAAGCATTGGATTCAATGTTTTAAAATATCTGTGGTTTTCAAAACACATATTAATATTTGAATTAAAATAAATTCATATTATTAGTGGCTTTCAGTCAATAAAACCCCAATTCCGATGGTCAATATAGTTTGAAGTGATATTTGTTCTTCTAAATATTTTAGGGGTTTCTTTCTGCTTTTAAGAATGTCATCCACTCTATGCTTTTCTGGAGATCTGTTGTCAACACCACTCCTCAAACTCCTCAATCTATTTTCCACCTTCTGAAAGCTGGTCCTCTTATCCTTCATTCCTGGTGGACAATTACATACTGTCAAAAAGAAAAGGCAGAAAAACCTTCAGCAGAAAGGTATTTGACACTTGTGTGGGAAAACTGAAAACATTAAACCCCGTAAAAGGAGAGACACAGATGGCAGGAGAAGCAGCTGGAAGCATGGTTCATTTCTCCCACTTTGCTAGGTCAATTAGATTACGTGAGTATGTGCCAGGTAATGGACTTTTTCCCTGAGCCAGTGCAGCTTTCAGTCAACCATCCTCCTCCAAGCTAGTTAATTATACATGTCAAGGATGTATGATTTTAAAGACAGCTCTCAGGTTGACTGTGCAAGCAGCTCTCAGTGATTCAGAAACCAGCAAAAATGTTGCTGATAGCTAGGCATTAGAAATGGTCCTCACTAAATCTGCTATTAAAATTAAAGTCAGTAGCACCAAACTGCGAGAAAGAAAAGCTGATATACATCTACATTTATTCAGAAGAGGAGGACAAACATAAGGAATATTTTAAAGTTATAAAGAACACCAGCAGAGAAGATAACCCAAGTATCTTATCTTTAGATTTCATTGCCTGCAGTAAGAGGCAGCAGTTTGGGACAAAAGCACTACTGACAGGTCTCACAAGGAGTTTTGGGTTTCTATATTAAATCACTCTGCTCTATAAAGTGTTGATTGCTTAAGAAATATAGTTTGCTAACTAAGACTTAGTAATTTCCTATTTACATTTCTCCCACACTGGTGCACACTTAAGGAGCAGGAAAGAGAGCAAAGAGTCATGAAAAAATCATAGACATTTTTTACAATTTAAACATACATCAGTAATTAATTTATTATGTGTACAAACATGAAATGTCACATATTATAATGAGAGTTGTAGTCAGTGCTGTGAATTTTAAGTGCTACATGATGATTAATACCATTACAAAGATGGAAAAGGATTTTTACAGGAGGACGTAGTGACAGGAAAGGAGGAATGGCTTCAACCAAAAAGAGAGGATGTTTAGATAAAATTTGAGGAAGAAAGTTTTCAGTGTAAGGTTGACAGAGTTTGCCCAGAAAATTTCTTGAAACCCCATCTCTGCAAGTGTTTAAGACCTGGTTGGACAGAGCTGTGAGCAAACTGGTCTAGTAAAAGTTGTCCTTTGAAACTAGATGGTCTCTAAAGTCCCTTCAAACTCAGGCTATTCTATGATTCTATGACAAACTTCCTAGCAATATATTTCCTACTGGAGTATGGTTTTCTGAGAATTTCAAACAGAATTTATATATAAATCAGTGTTCATTCCTTAGTTATATCATGTCAAAGCTAAAAATTTTTATACAGGTGCCTCCCTGAGTTGCTCTTCAGGCATTAAAAAACTGTCACAGGAGAAAACCAAGATAATTAAATGAAAGTTTACAATTTTATCACAGCTGAGATTCTGTATTTAAAAAAAAAACCCAAAAAAAACCAAAAAAAACTGAGTAATAATATGGAATTCAATCCATAATGCTCAGGTTCTACAAGAGCATGTTATAGGTAACTCTGAATGCACTCAGAACCAGAATTATTTAATTTCTATGTTTGCATAGTCAACTAAGGGATGCAAGAAGGAAAAAAATTGCATTTTTTGAATGCTTTGATGGCATTAATTAACATTGAAAACTCAAATGAGGTAGAAATTCAGGATAGTATCTAAAATAGCATTTGTATCTTTTGTTTCAAAAATACAATTTAATGATATGTAATCCATCCCAACATCACCACCTGAACAATATCAGTAGCTTTTCAGTTGTGAAAAATAGTGACTCTTTCTGCTATCTTCATTCCCAGATGATCAATAAAGTAATGAAATTCTGTTTCGCTGAAATGCAGGCATTATAGCAAGGGAATTAATTACCATCTCCAAAAATAAAATCTTTACTGAAAGCAAATTTCAGTAATGTTGGTCCAGCAAATAACAAAACCATGCCAATAGGTTCTATTAAAAATTGCAGCTTTTTGGAAAAACAGAGACATTTCAGGCTTGAGAATTTTGAATGACAAAAGTCTCTTGATTAGGGAATACTACTATTTTTTTACAGAGGAACTTGTAGCTATTTAAAAAAACAAAATATGATACTTGTTTAGTTGGGATAAATATAAATCATTAAAATAATTCATCAACAATTTTTTTAAAAACACAGGCAAGGAGATCAGAACTACACAGCTCATGTCTGAATATTTTTCTCACTTCAAAAAACATGGGTAATCAAGACTTTTTTGGCCCCTATTCCTTTCATCACTCATGAGCTGCTCAACCCTGAGATGAGCTCACTTGGCTAGAGCAGAGTGCTAGTGATGCCAAGGTTGTATATTTGATCCCTGTATGGGCTGTTAGCTTAAGAGTTTGACCCAATAATCCTTGTGTGTCCCTTCCAACTCAGAATATTCTGTGATTCTATGAGTCAGAATAAAATAACAGTAAGTCCTGTCTTGAAGACCACCGTTAATGAAAAATGTTGCAGATGACAAAGGGAGTAATTCAACCAACTACATGGTCAGACTTTGCTTCTGTCATATGTGCATTTAGGAAACATAAATCTTCTGCTTTGAAACAGGCCCTTACAGCTTACACCCGGCTGGATATAAGACAGCTGAGATGTAAATAATTATAAACTCATCATAGGACTTTGTAAACCAAAACCCTTATGCAGTGGCCATCTTACCTCTTCCGTGTGATGATGCAGAGCAGCCAATCTAAATGGGGGCATTAAAGTCTTTTCAGGTAACTCCAAATTCTGTCTGAAAAATACCAAAGAATGTCTTTTTTTCATTCCATCTTTCACATTAATATACACAGCATGGGGAACTCACCCCAATGTGATATGAACAACACAAACAGCACAGTGAAAGGTGATACTCTAAGAAATCTGATGAAATATTTATTTGGTGAATGATGTGTATAAACTAGTCTGGGTACACTCTATATAAGGTAAATATGGGATATCTGCTTTATATAGAGTTGAATATTAACTGACTTTGGACTGAGTTCTTGACAGTACAAGGTGTATTCTCTTATAAAATTAGATCCAAAATTAATACAAAAACTTTTCTTTGTAAAAAATATATATTTGTATATGACCAAATATCTGGCTTGTGTTTCAGTGTTACAAAATATTACGAAGAAGGAAACACATCTGTTAAATCATATTTTCTGATTCACAAAGAATGAAAAAGTAGAACTACAGTGTGAAATGCTCCAAACAATTAGCCTGTGAAGTGCTCCAAGGCTTTTAATGCTTTTCCCTCTGAAGTACTAAAAGGTTGTTTTTCTTTTGCGAATGTGATTTCAGAGAGGAACAATGTACATTAATTAACATAAAAACAGGTTATTCAGTGTTCACAGTTCTCCTAAAATCTGTTCTTTACATCTGGTGCTGAGTACACCCTTTAATGTAATATACCATTTAATATTTAAAAGATTTGAATCTACTGGTGGCTTATCATTCATTTCATGAACACTGCTTAGGAACTAAGCAGGTCATATGAGACCTGGCATCCTAACAAGGTCTCATCTTGAAAATACTTATGATGAATGGTGCTGAATAATTCTCCTCTGGAAAGGCTCTGATCACAGCATTTTTAAGTATTATCAGGCCTGATCTATCAGCTGGATTTTAAAATAACTATTTCATTTTGTTTTCTTGATTGTGTTAACTTTAACAGGATTCTTGGCCTAACTCATTTCCAAACACAGCTGCACAAAAGCTTGTGCCAACAAAATAAAAACGATGGCACAGAAGTGGGGCTAAACTAAGTGTTTCTTTTAGCTGCAATACATACTTAGGATGCTTGAGAGGCTTCCTAGCTGCCTTACCAAAATAGCACTAACCTTTCTGAAGTGAGAATAGGCTAAAAACCTCTATTTTCTTGGACGGTAGTTCCATCATCTCAAGAGCAGAAGCAGCACCAGGACAGCAAATGGCAGTCACAGCTTGTTGCCTGCTCTCCAGACTGCTGGTCTACATAGCAAGCTAGAGAGGGAATAGACAGAAGGCAGCAGAGCAGCACTCCAGCCAGCACACCTACCCCTGGGAGAGATGGCACCGGTCTTACAGGAACACACTGCCATGGAGCAAACTGTTTGAAACATAAATACAGAGGCTTTTAATCAGGATCTGCTGTAGTCTGAAGCTAAGGGCAGCTGGATGGTTACTAGAGCACAATAGGAAAGATAGCTTGCTGTGTTTTGCTACAGTTATTGGGAATATATATTTGCTATATGCCTACAGCTTTCAAATGTACTCTAACTGGGATAGTGAGAGAAGTGCTAATGAAGTAAAATAATTTAAGTAAATGTTTTAGATTGGATAAGAATAGCTCTCCAAGTTGTTAGTAATTTCTAATAAACAAGACTTGATAAAGGAAACAAAACACAAAACTGAATGCAGCACAGCTTATATCAAGCCATAAATCATAGCTAAGCAGTGTTAGCAAAAGACCCCTACAACTGAACATCTATTTATTTTCTGTATTTTCATATTTATTTAAATATATTTTCAGATATTTATTTTCTTTATTAGCAAAAACTTTCTGAAATAGGAAAAGTTAAATATACTAGAAGAATGACTTTCCATGTATGTCCTGTTGTGGAAGTGTTGACTAAAAAAATTTTGCAGATATTTCTTGAAAGCTAATGTATAGAGCCCAGAAAATTTCACCAGCCTTATGATACAGATTATAATGAAAATTCAATGTACAACATGGTTTAAGATATTCCTCATGAGCAAAAAATTGTGCAGTCCTGAGAGATTTAGTCTCTTCTATAATTTGACTATTAAACTAGAACAATTATAATTGCTTCTATGTGACACATCAAAGAGAGTCAGTAATTTTATAGTCTTATGTTAGTATTAGCTTATCTTTAAGTGAAAAAAAGTGAGTGTTCTGAGGGGCACTTTTGTTGGAGCTGAAAACTTAGTTGAAAAAAAGACCACTGAGTATCGGAAAAGCAAAATGCCAGCATCAGTGACACAGTATTTCCACTGAACTCTGATGATACAAAGTAGGAAGAATTCCTCTTTTGTGCCATTCTGGCTTACCATTTAGCAGGTGGAGAATAAGCTACTTCATCCAAAATAGTCAGCCAAATAGTTATTTGCATGATTACAGAGAATTGTCTCATTAAAGCGTCAGTGCCCAGATTATCAAGTCTCTTTTCCCTCTTTTTTTTATTTTTGGCAGAAAATACATATGTGACTGGCATCATTAAAAATCTAAAGAATGTTGTTTGGAACAGCTCATAGAAACTATTTTCTTTGAGACAAGCACAACTGAAAAATATACTTTATCCAGTAACCCTTTTTTATTAAGATTTCAGAATGCAGAGACAATAGGACTTCCAAAAGATCTCAGAGCAAAAGACTCATGGAGAGAACTCGCTCAGTAAAAGCCCATACCAAGCTCATTCTGTCTAGTGGCAGGGTTCAAATGCGAGTCACCATGAAATCCTTTTTGTATGGGTTACAAAATATTTCAGACAACATAAATATGCTTTAAGCTAACAAACACCTCAGAAAAGCAATAAGAATAGCAAAAAAAAGAAACAGATGCACCATATTTCTGGTGCTTCAAGCAATTTTCTAGTCAAATCTATAGTTAGTTTTATCAACACCTTCCAGATCTAGAATTTCTATCAGAAGAAAAACATCACTGATTTTCATTGTTAAATTGCCTGTCTTGACTTGAAGATGGAGTTATCTCCACTACAGTGAATTCCTGACTGCTCTTTAAGTGAAAAAGATTTTTATTGTGTGACAAAGATGTTTATTAATGCAAGACATAATTCAAAAGTAGACCTTCCTAAAGTGAAGCCCTCTGTGGATTCCTCCATACTTTGTTCACGTTAGAGGTTCCCTCTAAAAATAAATGAAATGCTAGCCAAGCGACTTCTCTAGCTTTGATTCAGACAGAGAGAATCAATCACCTTCCTAAAAATTGTGTTCATTGTAAACAGATCCTTTAAAATCCTCAGATAACCTATTTATTAAAAAATTTTGCTTAGTATTTAAAAAGCTTAAGTTCAATCATCAAGGTCCTAAATAAGAACAAGGTAACTCTAAGTGTAAATTTATGAATAATTGTCATTACCAATTCCAGTATTTCTATTGACACTTTTTCCAAACACTTACTACAAAGACTAATTTACAGAAAGCATACCATCCATTATACATCAACTACCTGACACAAACAGCTGTATTAAAGCTGTTTAATGAGATGCTTGCAGCTCCCCCTAAGTTGTTCTTAGGGGTAAAAGTGCAATAAAGAGAAATGCTTATCTTGACCTTGGGATTCCAATCAAAACCCACTCACTATTTCCCTCCAGAACTTTTGGAAAAAAAATCTCTGTATGGTTTCCTGGCACAGATCACAGTAATAAACATCATGCTAAGGATTTTAAAACCACCAAAACTGTAAAATCAAGAACTGGAATTCTTCCTAACACATATTTCTCCCTGATTTCCATCTGTATGAACCAGGATTGTCCCATAACCTGCATAATACAGTCAAGTGAAATTAATTTTCCATTTTATTATGCATGAATGCATCTTTTTAATAAGTCTTCACAGCAAAAATACAGATTCATGCTTAGTAAAAAACACAAAAAAAAAAAAATCCAAATTTTTGTATTATTAAAAATAGTAATTTTTATTCAACTTTTTAGTTTCATTGTTTAAACAGAATATAAACTTATACACCTTCAAAATTAGTGGTTCCATTCTGATTCCACTGAAAAGAGAGTTGTTTGGCATTGTGTTACAGGAATAGCCATAAATACTGAATACAAGTACACTGAAAAAATGCAATTCCTAGCTTTGAAATCCAGTTTCACAGATTTTTTTTATATACATTTCTATTACCTAAAGACAGCTCATGGATACTGTAAATGTGCAGAATGCAGATTTATGGGATTAGAAGTGAGTCTAGAAAAAGTACTGCTTACACAGCACTCCAAATAGAAGAGCTACTCAGCATTAAGATTCTTGTTGTAAAGCAAAAAAGCTGTTGAGGAATTAGCAGTGGGAAATGATAACTCTGTAAAATATAAACTGTAAATTGATATGAAAAATGCAGTATGCCTTTGATATACTCTCAATAGCTATACTCTGGAAACATATTATTTAAAATAACCTCTTTGCACTACTTTTACAGACTGCTATTTGTTTCTTAACTACTCATATTGAATTTCAGGTTCTTTCTTTCTTTAAAAAATGAAAAAAATAAAAAAGGAAGCAAAGTACTTGTCAAATCTAGTGTTATTCATTAAGCTCTTAAAACAGGAAAAGAAGAGCACTGTAAAATTTAGTATTTTCCACAGGATGATCACGCCTAACTTCGAAATAAAATTAAATGTGCCAACACATTCTTCAACAGAACTTTTAAATATCACGATCTCACCAAAAAATAATTATTTTGCATATGCCAAAAATCCATTTTCTCTATATCCTAACTGGTATATTCTACTCAGTTACACTGATTTTTTTTGTCTGCAAAATGTATAACCTTCTTTTCAAACTATTTTCCTTACATTAGCTATATATGTTACTTACAACTTATAACAAATACAATTAAAAACATAAAGAAAAGAGCTTGGCCTGTATACATTTTCCAAGATACAGAAGACTAAGCATAACACATTTTTTAAAGGAAATTTGTAATACAAGTGTGGTTTGTGATAAATTTGTATTTAAATTTTAGATAAGGAACATGAATATTAATGAAAATTCTTTACTAGTAG